CATAGCACAGATGTGCAATCACATCCCCACAGTAAAACTTTCAGGTTCCACTTGCTCTTGCAAGAATTGTTGTTTACCCATGTTTTAGGTTTACCAAACGGTTTAGGTTTTAGCTGTTTGACTGTTAATAAACATCAGTTCCCCCAAAGTGGAAGCATTTTGCTGCTAGGATTATTTTATCAGGTTTGGGAAATGTGGTGCCAGTTTCACAACCACAGCATGCAGAACTGCACAGCACTTAAGCTATTATCAAAGTGCTAAATGATTGGTCTGATTGTTTTATCCAGAATATGACAGTACTTCGACATAGCACTCTTGAAACACCCTAAAAGAATAGGGGCAGAAACTTGCTCTCTGCTTCCCTAGAGGGCAAGACTAGATTTAAGTCACAGAAAGGTAGATTTTGGTTGAATCCAGATTAAGGCTACAACCTGAGTCAACATGGCTAGATTTGCAGAGTATGTCTCCAGTCCTAAGTGTTGATATTAATATTTCCCCCTATTACATAAGGAGCTGGTGTCTCCCCCACTCAAAAATCTACAAGTATTCCAAGGGGAATTTATTTTAAATGAAAGATCAGGAAAGATAGGGTGAAAATGAGACAAAGGGAGGCTGCTAATAGACGATTTACTACAAAGATGGAAAAGGAAGTGTCCAGCTTTACTGGTGTTGTTGGTTTTTTAAACTTTTTTATTAAATTCCAAGAATAAACTCCGAGAAAAGGAGCTTAAAAGGCTGGAACTTCAGCTCATTCCCGGAGATCTGACAACTCCGCAGACGAGACACAAATGCTCCGCCTCGCCCCATCTCTAACGCCCTCGAGCTGAGCGGCTCCGGCGGAACCTTTGTCCTGCGCTCCCTTGTTTCTTTCCGGAGGCCGCTTAGCGTTGGAGCGCGTCTGTGCCCGATTGCCCCGTTGCCATGGGGATTGCCCGGAAGGAGCGTGTGCCCTCTTGAAAAAGCTCCCCCGGCTTCTTCCGGTGTTGCGAAAGCGGCGGCGAGAAGGTAAGTCAGCCCGCGTAAAGGGGGAAAGAGGCTCCTGGGTGGCTGTCTAGGAGCCAGGCCGGGTTTTTTGGGGAGGGATGTGGGATTTTTTTGGAGGGCATGCAACCCGCGAGCGGCGTGGGCAGAAACCCCCTTCACCTGCCGCTGATTCTGTGAGCACCGCCAGCAATCCTCCTCCTCCTCTCCGTTGTTATAAGAATTCTAAGGCCTCAAATATAGACTAAATATTCATAAATGCACACATATCTATATATTTAAACCATGTACGGGAGAGCAATCCTGAAGCCATTTTGACTCTCAGTGACCTCAAATACTCATCTGCAGGGAGGGAGGCAAATAGGGAAAGCCTCCCCATTGCCTTTTCGCTTGCAAATCCTGTCTTAAGGGTGTATTTGTGTATGAATAGGGTGAGCCTGTGACCTGGATTCAGGAACGAAGAATGGCCAGGCTGCCCAGCTAATGCAATCGGCGACCATTATCAGGTATCCTGGTAGGCAGGGCTTCTGCTGTAGACTGCCTCCTATGATATATGTATGACGATTTTGGGGTGGTCTTTGGCTAAGGGGGTTGGGCAATGTCAAAAGTCTTTAAAGGTTCCTGCACACTTTTGTTGAGGGTCTCTCCCTCCTTGGAAGGAGGGGAGGGGACTCTGTTGCAACAGAAAAATAAACATCTGCCTCGTTTTCCACTGGATTCTTCCTCCATCCATTCTTCTCTGGCCGATCATGGACTTAGGGGACTCAGAGTCCCATGGGGAGTTGGGAAGCAAAAGCCAAACCCCAATTTTTACATCACCATTATCGAAATCACACAAGTCAGTTCCCCCCTCTTTTTTCTGTGTCCCCTAACCAGCCAGCAGTTCACATCTCTTCCCCTTCCCCGCACTCCAGGTTGCCCTGGCATTATTCACTTGCCTTTAGGCGCCTCTGCAAAAACAAAGGAGGAGCTTTCCGCAACAACTTTGTCTCCGTGCCCTTTTTTAAAATTATGAAGCACTTGTTTAGTCATGTGGCCAGCATGACCAAGCATGCTCTGGCAAACCAGAGCAGCGCACAGAAACGCCGTTTACCTTGCCGCCGGAGTGGTACCTATTTATCTACTTGCACTTTGACATGCTTTCGAACTGCTAGGTGGGCAGGAGGAGGGACCGAGCAACGGGAGCTCACCCCGTCACGGGGATTCGAACCGCCAACCTTCTGATCGGCAAGTCCTAGGCTATGTGGCTTAACCCACAGCGCCATCCGCGTCCCAGTAGTAGTAATACAAACAACTAATTTCACAGAGTTGTTGTGAGAATAAAAATTGGGTGGCGAGAGAACCATTATACCACCTTGAGCTCTTCAAAGGACAGGTGGGATATACGGTAAATGTAATACATGGAAGTAATTAAATAATACCAAAATATCAGTGACCAACTGTGGACCTGATTTATGCTTTCAGGCTGCTAAGATGTCGAGCCAAAAGAAGTGTCCAGACTGTGGCTCCTTGGAAATTGTAGAGGACTCTCATTATGCTCAGAACCAGCTGGTGTGCGCAGACTGTGGCTTCATTCTGACTGAAGGGCTTCTCACAACCACATATGCTTATGAAGAACATTTACAAGGTGAGGCTAAGAATAGCAAAATAGCTCAAAACTCTTTGTATCTTACAAAGACATAGGATTTGAGATACAACTTGCAAGCAGTTCTCAAATATAGACAGGCCCTACACCATTCAACAGTTTAAAAATGGGTGCATGTTTGAGAGCTTGGACCAAAGTTTGGCTGATATCTGTGTTTTTATCTCATAGAAGTCACATATTCACGGAGTACTGGTCAGAATGAGCAAACGAGCCGTTAGATAGATAGATAGATAGTTTATTACGGCCATAGGCCCATATTCAATACATCATACAACAAAACAGGTATAACAAAATAAAATTGATAAATTAAAATACATTTAAATCGAGTACATCTCAAACCGTAAATTTCTACATTCCATTAAAATAAGAACAATATAGCACTTAAAATATCAAATTATCAATATATATCAATATTATTTGAACAAAATCAATCATAGAGTAATCCATTTTTCCTCTTATAAGCTAATACTGTTATCAGAAATCTGGCAACAGAAAGGGACCTACTCGGATCAGAATCTTGCAATAAATATATTAGCTGTGTTTCCAAGGAGTCACCTGGGATTTCCAATAATAAAGGGGACAAGAATCTGATCCGAGAAACTGAATGTAGTGGACAACAAAATAGTATATGTTGTAAAGATTCTATAGATCTATTATCACATACACACACCGCTGAGATCTGACCATTGGAAAATCTATTATTCAAGACATTGGAAGGGAAGGCGTTAAATCTTGCCTTAATAAAGGCATATCTGTGGGCCGCTACAGACAAAGAAGTCAAGTAAGATGGTATCTGCTGCGAGGGGACTATGCCAAGATTTAATGGTGAGCAAGTGCCACTACCCAAAATGGTGTTTTGTTGTAGGTCAATCTCCTCAAGTTTTTGAGTGAGGGTTTTTTTTGCTGTGGCTAGGTCCAATTCCAATAATTCTGATGGAGATAATCCATAAGTCACTACTTTAGAATGGATCTCTTTTGCCCCTAGGACGGGAAAATTATCTCTCCAGAGGCATTGGATCAAATACAGATTCGGGAGCCTATGCCTTAGGGACAACCAGTAACAAAGGCTACGCCTCCAAAGAGTATTTTCTAAAGATGTAGTTTTTAATTCTAAGCGAATAGCTGCGTTACTAACGCACTGAGGGAGTTTTAGCAGTCGTCTTAGAAATTGATTTTGAATTACCTCCAAGGGCATCAAGTTTACTGCGGTCCCCCATAAAGGAACAGCATATGCCAATGTTGCAATTACTTTAGCTTTGAATACTTTCAAGGCAGATGGAACATGAAGAGCCCCGTCCGAAAAGAAAAAGCGCAATAGCGCAAAGGATAGGGCCTTGGCCTTGTTTAAAATATATGCAATATGCGCCTTCCAACCCAGATTATATTGGAGAAAAACTCCCAGGTATTGAAATTTATAGACCTGTTCAATAGGTTTTCCATCTAATTGCCACTTATAGGATTTCCGACTTTTTGAGAAAATTAATACTTTTGATTTAGATTGATTTATAGTGAGGGAATTTGTTTTACAATATGAAACAAAGAGTTTTAGTGCTCTCCTGAGGCCAATTCTTGAGTAGGATAAAATCACAGCATCATCAGCATAGAGTAATAATGGGCAACGATAGTTTGCGAGACGGGGGGCATGGATAATTTCCTGAGATTCAGCCAATGGTATCCTCATATCACTAATGAATAAATTGAAAAGAAAAGGAGCTAGGATACATCCTTGCCGGACACCTCTGTTGATGGGCACAGAGTTTGTGAGATCGCCGGCTGGGGTTATTCTCACTCTAGCAGCCGACCCCTCATGCAGCTGGATTATTAACCATAAAAGTCTTCTATCAATTCCCCATCGGGCCAACTTTTCCCAGAGTAACCTTCTGGGGATGCTGTCAAATGCAGCCTTAAGGTCGATAAAAGCCGCACAAAGTTGGCCTCGGTTTAAAGAGGAATATTTCCGGGCTAGATGGTGCAAGACTAAAACCTGGTCCATAGTTGACTGGTTCGGTCTGAATCCTGCTTGCTCAGGGCCTATCAGTTTCTTTTCTTCAGCCCATTGGGTAAGTCTATTAAGCAGAAAACGCGCGTATATCTTTCCAACTATTGACAGTAAGCTAATATTCCTATAATTATCCGGATCGTCTGGGGAGCCTTTTTTATATATTGGAATTATAATAGCGTCCTTCCATATTTTTGGCACCCTTCCGGTTGCATTAATAGCATCGAAAGTAACAGCCAGAATTTTTGCCCACCAGTCGGAATGTAGTTTTATGGCTTCCGCCGGAACCAAATCTGGCCCAGGGGCTTTGCCGATTTTAAGTTTAGAGATTAAATTCAAGATTTCATCGGGGTCAGTAGGAGGCCAGATGGGGAGATGATCAAATACATCATCAAGAGCGTTGGTATTGGAATCTGGTGACGCAAAATATTTCCTTAAAAAGGATTCCCAGACCGGGGCAGGAATTATTGTTAAGGGGTATCTCATTGATCTTCTATTGACCATTTGCCAAAATTGCCGTGAGTTACATGAACTAGAGGCGGCTATAAGCGCCTGCCAACGATTTTGTTGCCACTCTTGCTTAGCCATTCTCTGGGCTTGCTTATATGCTATTTTTGCTTGTTGGTAATTCTTAGGTAATACTAAGGCACCAGAAGATTTATATTCATTGTAAATGGCACAGAGATGTCGTCTAGCTTGTTTGCATTTTAAGTTAAACCAAGGGGCACCGGTCTTAAAATGGGCCTGATTTACTTGGATGGCTGGTACTGTAAAAAAGGACATAAGATTTTCTGTAAGCAGAGAGAATGAATTGATAATTTGTTCATGCCCATACAAATCTAAATCTGAAACAACATGAGTTTGAATTATCTCTTGTTGGAAGAATTCCATATATTTTTGGGCTTGAGTTACTGACCATTTTATTCCTCTCACTTGTTCTGCAGTATTTATTCCCATATATATGGGGTGTCTAGACTTGATAAACTGCCAGTCTAGGGAGAGCTTGGCACTCAAGGGGAGATGGTCGCTCATTTGAACGTTTTCTATTTTAAAATAAGAAAAATTTGGGAATAAATCTCTAGAAACAATAAAATAATCGAGAACACTATTTGTAAGTGTGCTCAAATGAGTAAACTCACCCGGAATATCCGGGGGACAATTTCCATTTAAAATTATCAAATTCAAACGTAAAATCAGCTGATAAAGAAGGGTTCCCGCTTCATTAACCCTATTATCTTTTGATTTTCTCTGTATATGGGGGGAGAAATCCAAGTTCTGATGATCACGTATGACCCACCATTTGGCCTTGCCTAGCGCTTCCCAGTTTGCAGCTGTACGAGCATTAAAATCACCTCCCATGACTGCTGAGATGTTTAGGAACTTAGTGTAACAGAAAGCTAAGTGTTCTTCAAGTGTTTCCCATTTGGAGTGGAGGTCCACTACCTGCCCCCAAACGAGCCGTTGTGTACAGCGAGGTACGTATTCTGCATTACTCTGTTGATGCTTTGTGGAAATTAATGTGCCTGTCATCCACAAGAGCTGCATTGTTTCACTTTCTAAAAGCAAAGAGAAATTTGCATTTTTAAAACAGTCTTACCTATTTGCTGTGGGACCAACCTGTTTTAGAGGTACATAGAGTGCACAGTTCAGTTTGATTGCCTGATCAAATCCCACCTGAATCATTGACAGACTGGTTAACCATGGACCAGTCTGTTTCCATTACCATTAAATGGCCATTATAATTGTGTGTACAGCTGCAAAAAATAAAAATCAATACATAACTAAAAGCCAAATTAAAATCAAATATGAAGTTGAAACAGCAATACTAACAGCCATTCTCAATTAGAGCCCCCAAAGACTTTCATTTAAAAAAGTTCTCCATAATATCCCCAAAAAAAAGCCAAAGTAGGCTTGGTTTGGACACTCCAGTTACACTACCACAATTGAAAGTATGTTATCCATGATTGCCACCCATCTAACCTCTGAAAGTGGGAGCATGTGAAACAGAGCCTCCACAGATTATCTTAGTATATGGGCAGCTTCATACAGGCAAAGACCTACCCTGCGGTTAGATTTCTCACTGATAAATGTGTATGTGGAAACATTTCTTAAGTACTGCTGTGATATTTCCCCCCACAGGAGTCAAACGTGTTTGGGATCTCTGCAAAGTTCTGCGGCTTCCTTCTCTGTTTGAAGATACAGCCGTGTCCTATTACCAGCAGGCAATCAAACGTCCCTGCTTCAGTTTAGTCAGCTTGGAGAAGAAGGAGATGCTTGTGGGCTGTTGCGTCTTTGGGACCTGCCGCCAGCACAACTGGCCCCTGACCATGGGCACAGTCTGCCTGCTGCTCTATGGAGACAAGGAGTTGTTTGCAAAGACCTATCTACGCTTCCTGAAGGAACTGGCCCTGGATGTGCCTACTCTCAGCTTGATGGATATGGTGAAAACCCACCTCAACAGGTATGTCGAAGTTCTTATGCCCTTTCCTTGACAATACTTCTCATAGTTGGTGTGCAGTTTCCATCATTCATAGACTGAATTTACAAGTATCATACGGACTGTGTGGTATATTGATTGGAAGGCCGATGAAGCAGCAAGCTTCTTAAAGTTCAGCAGGGATGGATGTGGTCAGTGCTTGGATGTAGGAACCCTGTGTGTGCTGTGTGCTTCCATCATGGAAGAAATGAGTATTTTCATATGTGCATGTATTCTCCAACTCCCTGATTTCTGAGATTTCATCTGAGGCACTTCAGGCAGTTCCAGGCTTTTCTCTTTAGCCACAGGGGCAGCAAACTTCCTTTTTTAAACAAATAATTCTCAGAATTGTGAATTCTGCTCCTGCTGCCAATCCCATAATTGCTTGGAAATCCTTCCTATTATTATTAAGGGCAAGAAGCTAACAAACAGAATTTTGCTGAGCACAAGTTAGGAAGAGTGTGAATTCAGCCCTGTCCATATAGTGCTGGTTAATGGAAGATGCTTGCCTTTTTGATACAAGCTGCTCAGCTTGCCTTTTTGGTGTCCTTGGAAAATGCAGGGCCTTCTGCCCTTTGCCAGAATGCTTTGTTTTGCTCATGTCCCTCTTTCACCTATTTGTCTTCTCCATCCTGCCACATCTCCCAACCCAAGGCAGTCTATCTAAATGGCTTGTTTGATTTTCATCTTTCCAGCTTCAAGATTTTCCAGAATTCACCCAGCGTCCCGACTAAGTTTGTGGAAGAAAAGGAGCAGCTGGTGGCAAGGACTGTCCAGATGGTGGAACTTGCCAGCGACACGTGGCTGGTGACAGGCCGGCACCCCATCCCCATAGTGACAGCAGCAGCCTTCCTGGCTTGGCAGTCTCTCCGGCCTGTCGATCGCCTCACTTGCACCCTTTCCCAGTTCTGTAAGCTTGCTGGTATGGAGGCTCCCCGGCCAGCCCACCAGAGACTGAAGGAGCTGCATAACATCCTCCTGCAAATGGCTTCTCAGCTGGGCTGGTTGCGAGTGCTGAAAGTGGACCGTCGGAGCGTGGCAAAGTACATCGGTGACTTTCTGCGGCACCGCCGTGTGCTTCTACAGGCTGCCTTCCGCATCGTGGATACTACGGAAGACCGTGACCTAGAAGACTCAGCAGCTGCGCCACTGCAGCTAATCGATGAGAGCGCTGCAACAGTAGAAGAGGCCTCCCTTTCAGGAGAGAAGCAGAAGTTCAGCAAGCGGAAACCTTTGTTCCCACCCTGCATCTTGAACCCTGCAAAGAGGCTACAAACTCCTCAGCTAAGCCTTGAAGATTCTGCTATCACTGGAGATGAGCCCATTTTAGACAGTGAGATAGAGCAGTTTATCCGGACTCCAGAAGAAAAGGAGATGTTTAGCAAGGCTCAAGCGTGCCTGTGACCTCGAAGCTGCAAGTGATTCAGACAGACTTGCAAGCAATAGCCTTCTGATACATATTTTGCTCTAGGATGCTTAGTTTGGTAAGAATAAAGTATACACTTCCAAAGTTAATGCTAAATACATTGCTTCTGGTAAATGAGCCATCATAACCACTAGAGGATTGTGAAAATTTGTGTCCTGGGCTTTTTAGACTTGTCTACCTATGTACTGCCTGAAGCAAAGGGATTCATTGGTTGCCAGATGCGATTCCCCCCCCCCCCCCCAGCTCTCCATCCCACTAAGAATCTCCCACATCCTTCAGGCATGGCTCCTTCCACCCTACTGTGATAATAATTAAAGACAGGTTTGGGTGGCCTGGATAACTTTGGTTACTGGTGGGGACCACTAGTAACCAGTTGGCGAGGTTGTGTGATTGTTTTCCTTCAACTCTGACAAGAGGTATAGGAAGTGGCCACATTGCAGTGGTTTGCATGCTGTTTAGGACAACTTTTGGTTTAAAGATTGGCGTATCTCTGGGTGAGAAGCAGTATCCACTCTTGAAGGGTTGGGTGGAGGCAGTCAGCCAGCCTGAGCAACAAATACCTCTTTGAGTTGGCGTTTGACTTGAATGAATGTTTGTCTGGTCTACTTATGGTCCTCATAGTTAGACACGAGAGAGTGGAAGAGAAGTGTGAAAATCTAATTGTAAGTTGTTTCAGACATGCATGCTTTAAACCTAGATCCAGAAGAAAAAGTTGTGGCTTTGCAAGCATCTCTTTATAGTACATGGTATGGTGGTTCCTGAATATCATACCCGTGTCACAAGATAGGTGGTGAGTCAGTCACTCTGATTAATGGAGCTGCTTAGTTAATTTTTGTCCCTACATGCACATGGTGAGGAGAGAGCGAGCGGACGAGCGAGCAAGGGGCCTCGGTGGAGCTCCTGCTGCCAGGGGCAGTCTACCTGCTGGGGCGCGGGGCGCATGTGCGGAGGGAGGGAGGGGGCTGGTGGCAGGTGCTGCCCAGAGAGGCCTCCTAAATATGACCCGTTGCGTCTGATGTTCGCTCCTTCTTTATTTAGGGAGTCATAGCAGGACTTCTGAAGGAATGCGGATAAGGGTATGCTTTAACTTCAAAGGAGAGAGAGGAAATGCGCCAGTGTGTTGTGTCAATGTAGGATTAGCCGGGTTCAGTACTTTGTCCAGTTCCAGTTGCTGCATTTTAAGGAGGAGATAGACAAACTAGAGGAGGAATCTTTCTGGCTGTGGGGGGCCAAAAACTTCGACGTGTGGGTGGGGCAACCAGCAAGTAAATCACATTCTGCCATTGTGACATCAAAATGTTGGCAAGTGGGTTGTCTTGACTACTTGCCAAGATAAATTGTGTAGGGTTCCAGGTTGGGGTTCCAGAGTGCAAGGGGCTTTGGCAGTGTTGTGCCTTGTAAGCCTCCCTGCATTGCTTCTTTCCGTCTCTTATGTCAGAGATCAAAAGGAGCTTCACGGAATTGCTTTCAAAGCCCTTTGCAAGCCTTCAATGAGCTGCAGCTTGGACAGTAGGAGCGATGGTTGAATGGGATCCTACTTTAATGGCATCCCTTATTGGGCAGGTGAGCGTGGCTTCTCCAGATTGGCCTCATGGGCAAATGGGACTGGTGGGTCACGTTTGGTCTGTGAGCTGGAGGTTCTGCACCCCTGAACTACAGCATATTCCAAAGATGGTGAGGAGTCTGGAAACCAAGTCCTATGAGGAACAGTTGAAAGAGCTGGGCATGGTTAGCTTGGAGAAGGAAAGGTTAAGAGGAGGCAGGAGAATAGTTCTCAAAGAACTGAAAGACTGTGATGCAGAAGGTGGAGCAGATTTGTTCTATGTTACTCCAGATGACAGATGTAAATGCAATGACTGAAAACATTTAAATAAGATGGTTTTGACTTTACGTTAGGAGAAACTTCTTAAGTGTATGAGTAGTTCAAAGGCAGATCAGACTGCCTTGGGAAGTGGTGGGATCTCCTCCTATGAAGGTTTGTAAGCTGTGGCTAGATACCCGTTTGCTTAGTAAGCTGTGTATTTGCAAGATTCCTGCACTGAATCTGTTGGGCATTGGGCTAGATGACATCCAAGGTCCCTTACTACTCTATAGTTCTGTTTGATGATGTTGACTTCCTGCTGACTAAATGGCATTTCCAGGTTCAGAGGCAATTTACCTATGTATGTCAGAGGCTCAAGGTCCACATGCCCAAACAGGTATCAAACAGCATGCCGCATGAGAATTATTCATCTCAGCTGTTTATCTGACAGCAGCAAAAGCTAAGCTCAAAACAGGATGGATCATGGATTAAAAATGCCACTTTTAGTAAAGATTCCACCGTTGTCCATAGAGTTTACTGGGAGACCACAGGAGAGTCACACTCAGTCTAATCAATCACAAGGGTTGTTGTGAGAATGAAATGGGATGGGGAAATGAGAACTATGTATGTCACTCATACATAGTTATTTGAAGTAAGGGTGGGGCAAAAATGCAATAAGCAAACATTGCAAGCAGAGGCGGGATCAAACTTTTAAAAACAGTGTATTAAAACTTGAAATAAACAGCAGTATAATGTGCTACAGCATAATATAAAGAGTTGGTGTGGTGTAAAGGTTAGTGTCACACTAGGACCTAGGAGACCAGGGTTCAAGTGAAGCTCACTGACTGACCTTGGCTCTCAGTCTAACATAGGGTTGTTATGGGGATTAAATGAGGAGGGGTAGAATCACGTATGCCATCTTGAGCTCGTTGGAGAAGAAAACTTGTAAAGTATCCTGTTGATACCTTTCCTGAGCAGAGTCCTGCTGGATCACGGTAGTTGGCATACTTAATTTTATTCCATTGTTGTAAACTTCTCTAACAACCTACTTTTAGTTAAAGGGAAGAATAAACATCTATTAAATAAAATAATTTGTATCCAGCTTTGGATAGCGGTTATCTCAATGCATCCAGGAAACATGCAAGCAGGGTGTGGAACTGACAGTTCTTCCTCAGTTTGCTGCCTTGGCAACTGATATTCAGTGGTATTAATGCTTGTGAACATGGAAGTTCCATTAAGTTGTCAAGGCGAGTAGCTGATACGAATTTAGTTAATTCCTTTATAGAGCCTCCTAAACTAGGGTCCATCTCCCAATCATGAATCCCCTAAACGTTGGCATCTTTGTCTTCTCCTTAAATCTTGGTTTGCAAGAATTTCTTTTTCTAAGATGTGTGCTGCAACACATGCATTATTTTAAAACAAAATATGCTTGCTTCAGAACAGTTTGTTTTATATTTGTACAAATTATTCAGTAGGTTAATTGACTAAAACTCATGATCAGTTAAGTTTTCTTCAATAGGTTGATAGCTCTTGGGATTTCACACCTACCCAGTTATGCTTCACATTGTGCCATTTTATGTATAAGGTTTAAACCAGTGAGTAAGAATTAAAAAAAATCTGCTTAGCATTTATAGAGTTTAAATAGCCTTGTGTACATTTGAAGCACTTTATTAGTTTTACAGATGAAAATTGGGGCTTCAAGGTTTATGTCGGAATCTATCAATTAAGAGGTAGCTCACTAATCAACACCACACCCTTAACACGTGGACAGACAGTGCAAAGATGCAATTCAGACCAGTTAATATTTTTTCATCTGAAGGCAGGGAGATCTGAAATTTGGATGAAACTGTTGCCAGATCTCAAGACTGGATGCTTATTCGTAAAACAGAAACACTTCCCTGTACTGAAAGAATTAGATGTCAATGAGATTATTTCTGACAGGCCTTTTCCCTGATGTGGTAGTACTGTGTGTGCTTTTTGTTTTTGTTTTTTAAGGGTAATCTTTTAGCCATGCAATAACTTCCTGTAGTTTGTCTAGAAATAGTTTCACCATGCTATCCGCTGTTTTAGGAAATTGGGCCAAATGATGAGCTTTCAAAATGTGAATATAGAAAATCGCTCACTTGTGTTCTAGTGCTTTTCCCTCCTCTAGTTCTTCTCTTTTGTTTCCTTTCCTGTTTTGATATGTATGCTTTTAAAGCATGCAATTTTCTGAAAATATTGTTGGAAAATTCCATATTTGGGGAGAAATTGCATGCTTTTGTACTTAAGCTGCTGTTTCTGTTCTAAAACTTTCCTGGTAATGGCTTTCTCATTTTCTCTCTTTCTAGCTCTGTATCCTCTCCTGTATCCCGCTCCGTTCAAGGCTGTTCGGCAGAATTTGTCTTGGTTCATGTGGTGCCTTTCAGGGAGTAAGAAGGTTAGTCACACTAAGATGGCATGCATCTTGGGTTTTAGTGCAGAAACAGTCTATTCTACAGAGTTCCTCTGACTGTTGATGCCTTTTATGCAGATATCTTCATGGCATAACCTTAAATGGACAAGGTCATGCTGTGGAGCTGTTATACCATAACTCATAAACTAGTAAGGCCTGCTGATGTTGCATGATACCAGAGCATAACAGCACAGATTAGGTGGAGCTGTTAAGCGATCATGGGACTGAGCTTAGTAGCAGAGCCTTTCCCGTCTCTTCCTGCAAAATTATATGAATATTTGGGGGAATCCATTGCCCTGAGCAATGGATAAATTTACAGTACAAAATCAACCCTTTCCTGGCATGGTTCTCATTCATCCTCTGGGGGGAGGCCCCAGAAAGCAATTCTGGAGAAACACTTGTTTTGTGAGGGTGCTTATAATTATTACATGATTGTAATCCCCTTTATGGAACCACACTTCCAAGGACTTAACTGAGAACCATGAAGCTCTAGACAAAGTCTGTAAATATGTGACACATGACACATTTTATCTGGATTTGAGGTCCTGTGACAGAAAAGATGAAATTGAAATTGCTGGCTAAATGCCACTAATATCAGTCTACAGACCTACCTGGCATTTTGCTTACACGGAGAACCTGACTCTGTTTAGCTTGAACTAAAAATTAACTATTTTATACGTAACACACCCTGAGACCTTGTGGGAAAAGGGTGGGTAGGAAATATTTAAGCCCCTGATGCTGAACTTTTGCTGTTCTTTATTTATACAGATGGTACAAGCGTCACTCCAAACCAGGAGAGAAGGAAAAAGAGAGAGGTGAGATTGAGGTGGATATCCAATTCATGAGGAGCAACATGACAGCCAGCATGTTTGATCTGTCCATGAAAGATAAGTCACGGACACCATTTGGCAAGCTGAAAGACAAGCTAAAGGGGAAACGAGGCAATGGATTGCCAGACACAGCTTCAGCTATTGTTCCTAGCATTAGTCACTCCCCGGCTGACAGCGAGGAAGAGCATAACATAACATCAAAGATCTTGGATAACCAAAATGAAGCCGATATAAAGGTATTTTAAGACATACTATATTTTAAAACCTAATTGGGTGGTCTGTGCCCTGAGTTAGGAAGCTTGTAAATTTATTGGCGGGATTAGACAAACTGCAAAGGGGTATAGTCGTTTGGAGACAGAAATGTGTTCAAGTTTTCTAATTGTACGATTCCCCCTGCCCCTGCTATCCTACCCATCATGGGCAATTTCCTAGCCTTTTACTGACACAAGTTTAGATTTGTGAGTGGGTATGAATTCCCCAAGCTCAAAACTTGCTATCTTCACCAAAGGACTTTGGCCTGAAAGGGATTTTTGTTTTCAGATAAGCAAGGTTTAGTGATTTCGTGCCTCCAACTAATATTGCAAATGATCTGTTTGGTGTTTGAGCACAAAACCTGAATTATTATCACTTAACTGAAACAGCCACTATTGCTGCTGCTTTGTATTTATTTAGTACTTTTCGCATGTTATGAGGAGGGTCTTATCTTCACTTTTCCATGTTGATTACTGGGAAGAAATAGTTGAAGGCAGGTGTACAGAAACCTTGTATGCACATTTGTCTGCATGCCATAAAAGTACTTACTGGCAATTCCTGAAATTCTAGTTTTTTTGTGAATCTTCAGTAGCTTTTAAGATGCTTTGGCAGATGACCTCTTTGCTCTGACATCACTCCTGGGATTCCCCGGTAATCCCTGAAACCAAAGGTTTCTATACCTTCCTTCTGATCCTTTGACGCCATCCTTGCAACAGTGCTGGATATCAAAATGACTTTAACCTGTTCATTCTTCCTTCCTAAAGAAATATGATCCTTCAGATCCCGCCTACGCTTATGGCCAGCTGACACACAGCGAGCTGATCCAGCTGGTCTTGAAGCAGAAAGATGTGATGGCAAAGCGAGATCAGCAGGTGCGGGAGCTGGAAGACTACATTGATAACTTGCTTGTCCGAGTGATGGAGGAAACCCCGAACATTCTTGATTATTGTGGGCCTGCTCTTAGTATGACATCATCAGATATCACCCATAGATTTTGACGTTTCCTGAATGGTGCACTGTTAATGGCTCTTGATACTGTACAATCTCATTTGCAAACACCAAAGAATAGGAACAGCTAAGTGGTTCCTGTAGTTTATTCCTCATTTGACATGGCAATATTTATGCAATGAGAGCCCTAAGTTTGGAGATTGGTAGAAAAATTAATACTGTCATGTTTGAATATAAGACTTGGACTGTGAGCTTGGACTCCATGTTCCTGTTGTCCTACATGGAGTGTGGTGCTTGTTGAATAGATTTGTCTATCTTCTTGCATAGTGCTAATTCTCTTGATGAAATCCTCCGGCTGATGCTGTCACCTTGCCTCAACTAGGTCAATGATTTCAGGTGATTGAAAGGGGAGGAACTCTTGTCTACCATATCTAAAATCTTCAGGGCCTGTGGTGTTTTCACATATCTGTGGCTCCATAATAGCTGGGGCATAAAGTCTGTAAGGGCAAACTTCTTGCGTGTAAAACCAGGATTTAGATACTTGGGCATCTTTTTAAAGCTAGTATATCTCATTTAAATGAAGCAAATTGCTTTTTAAAAACTTTATTTTAAGAGGCTTAATGCCTCTTTGCTCCTGTTGGAGCCATAAGCACACAGGCACATGCTTTTGGGAACAAGTATTTTATTGAAATATAGTTTTACTATGTACTAGAAAATGTTTATTCCTGATGGTTATATGGTCCCAAAGTACAGTGGACATTTGTGTTTAGTACATATTCTGTAGGAATGGATCTAGTAAGAAATAGTGTTGACCGTTTTAATAGAAATAGTACAGGACCAGCTTCCAGCAGATTGTGACAATCTTCTAGTTTATAACCTGACCTAAAATTTCCAGGGACCACAGGGCTGTAGCTGGCAACACAATGTGCCACATGCAAGAGGGAGTATTCTCACTGGGCCCAAATCAGCTGACCATTCTTCATATAAAGGTCTGCTCAGTTGTATACATTTTGATGAGATTTGGGCAACACACAGCAAGGATACCTTGCAATCAGTGCCTTCTAATTGGTACCTGTGACTTATGCAATCCTGACATCGAAATGCTGAATTTTGTGAAAAGTGTGGTACATTGTGAGGGATATTTCCCCTTGTGCAAACATTTGCTCAGTGCTTAATGTTGAAGGATCTGAATGTATATATTCTACCTTGTTACTCTTGGTATTTAATCCCATTGGGTTTTTGGTTTTTTTTACGAAGACCTTCATCCTTGTGAAATGTTAAAAATAAAGTTATTTAAACTTGTGAGAACACTTGTGTTTCTTTGCGTATCTTCACAACCTTTAAGTGAAGAATGCTGTATGTATAATTCACATTATTGCACGCTATATCAGAATGGTTCCTAGGTCCATACTGATAGAAACGATTCTCTGCTGTACGAGGACTGGATTTCATCATGGTAATTCCAAAGTGTGACAGAAAAAGGGCTTCATATGCAACTGGAACTTCTATTGTGAGAGCTGTTTGTACATGAAGCCTTACGGGTTATAAGAAGCAGGCATTCCTCACACCAGAGCCAGAGCTGCCCATGCACTTCTTTTTTTAAACCCCAAATCCAGGACTTTTGGTTTAAAATGTAAAATCCCACCCCGCCCTGGATGGCCATGTAGGACCCCCCAAAAGAGGACATATGTCAATCCTAGCATAGAGCCCTTGTACCTTAGGACCTGATGTGATCAAATGTTTCGCCAATAAAGACCTAAAATTCCAATTGCTTGCCTTCATTGGGGCTAGGTGCGCTCAAGGTGCAGCATGATTCAAAATGGTCCACTACATTCAACATCTATCTTGCAGCAGCATAATGTTTACCTTTCCCTGAATGGCTTGGCAGATACTTCCATTGCCCGGTGAGGTGAGTAGGAATTGAACTGAAGAGACCTTTGCCCTGCTGTGGGGCATTCCCATAATTGTGGCATCAAAACTAAGCAGGCTAGGGTAGCCCTGTGTGCTGCATTAGAGAGGACAATCCTCTATTTGAAGGTTGTATGTTCCAAGCATAAGGTACCCCTGCCCGTACGGGCCAGTCTTGCCAGACTCTAGGGTTGTGCGCCCATCTCACTCAAGAGGCCGGTGGCCAGTGCTGTCCGGAGACACTTCCGGGTCACGTGGCCAGCGTGACATCGCTGCTCTGGCGAGCCAGAGCCGCACACGGAAACGCCGTTTACCTTCCCGCCAGTAAGCGGTCCCTATTTATCTACTTGCACTCAAAGGTGCTTTCGAACTGCTAGGTTGGCAGGCGCTGGGACCGAGCAACGGGAGTGCACCCCGCCGCGGGGATTCGAACCGCCGACCTTTCGATCGGCAAGCCCTAGGCGCTGAGGCTTTTACCCACAGCGCCACCCGCGTCCCTGCTTAATCCAAGCATGGATTAAAGATAATGAACCACAAGGGAGAGCAGAGGCCTTGTATTTTGCCAGCACCAGTTAATACTTGGACAGCAGCTACACAACTCACCTGATCTGTCCTCATTATAGGAAGATGCAGAGGAGTTTTTTCAGCCAGAACTCACAGGAACTCAGTTCCAGCACCTCTCAGGTGAGCACCATTGCATTATAAGAGAACAAGGGAGGAGTTCATGGTGAGTTCCAGCACCTCATTTTCTAGAAAAATAGCACTGGGAATCATAGCTGTCAACCTTCCCTTATTTGGCGAGAAACTCCCTTATTCCAGCGCTATTTCCCGCTGCTGTCCCAGATTGAAATCCGGGAAATTTATAGGATATCAACAAAGGAAACAGCTCCTGTCCCTCCCTGCTGGCCAGGGAGGCTCCTCAACTGCGTTGCTCACCAGTAAGGAGTCTGAGAACGACTGGCGGGTGGAGCTTGCATGTCTTGTGCCGATCAAATCGGCCGCGTTGCCTGGGGACTCACCTTTGCTTCAGCGCTTCCCAGCGGAGAG